GGAGCGGCCACTGCACTCCAGTCTGGGCGACAGAGTGAGACTCCAACTCAAAAAAAAAAAAAATTTTTTTAATTTGATTTTATCAACAATTTTAAAACCAATTATGCTAGGCGCAGTGGCTCATGCCTGTAATCCCAGCACTTTGAGAGGTGGGAGTGAGAGGATTACCTGAGTCCGGAGGTTCAAGACCAGCCCGGGCAACTTGGCGTGACCTTGTCTCTACAATAAATTAAAAAAAAAAAATTAGCCAGGCATGGTGGTGCGCACCTATGTTTCCAGTTACTTGGCAAGCTGAGTCAGAAGGACTGCCTGAGCCCAGGAGGTCGAGGCTGTGGTGGCAATGGGCATGCCACTGCACTCCAGTTTGGGTGATGGAGTAAGACTCCAACTCAAAAAAAATTAACTCATTGAAGATTTACTTAAGTCACACGAACTAAAAAAATCTTAATTACTATATATTTTATATGAGTTTTCATTTACTTAAACCAATCAGAATAAAATTTCTTAAGGGATTTCTGGCTGACTAGATCAGATTTTATTATGTGAACACAGCAGACAACATAATACATGTATGTATTGCTGTACCCTCAATGACCGCAAAAGGGAAAGCACTGTGTCTGAGAGGCCAAAGAAAGGACCTAGAGACCAGATGGGACATCGGCTCTATTCAGGAACGAACTTACAGGGAAAGTCCAGGAGTGTCTGGGGCACAGGAAAAACTTCTCCCACTTGTAAAAGGAACACAGGCTATATAGTTTTTTACATAGGGCAGAGTACGAGCTTAAGCATGAGTGGGTGGAATTTCTAGTGCAAACATAATGCAAGAACTTGCTTCTTCGTGTGTCACATGTACACAAAATAGCTGCAGTTTCTCTCTAGGGATTAGATTTTTAGTATTATTATGAAATAAAGGTAACCAAAAATTATGGGCTTTAATTCAGGTAAGCCCAACCTAGACTAAGCCAACCCAGGGGGGTTGATTGGCTCAAGGAAAGTGTATGTAAGAACAATCATTAGGCATAGCTGCAAGATGTGATCAGTAGGTGCAGAGAACACTTCATCCTGTAACTATGGATTACTGTCGCAGCATGACCTACACTCCCAGCATGGAGCCTGAGAAGAAGGGATCATCCTGGGTTGGCCACACCAAGACCCCTCTCCAGGTTCCAACCTCCTTTGTGGGGCCATGTCCAAAGTATTGCTTATGTTGTCACTGAGTGTCATTTAAACACACACACATACACACACACACACACACACTCACACACACTCACACACACACACACACACACACACACACACACACACACACACAAAGATCTCATAGTTTTTATTTTAGAACTTTAGTCATAAGATAGTAAAAAATATAAATGCACTGGCTCATAGAAGGCAGTTGGACACAAAATATTTTTCTGGCAAAATAGGATAAGACTATGTTTTGAGATTTTTTATTTCATTTTTTATTTTTTTGAGTTGGTGTCTCACTCTGTCGCCCAGGCTGGAGTGCAGTGGCACGCTCTCGGCCACCGCAGCCTCGAACTGCTGGGCAACGGCCATTCTTCTGGCTCAGCCTTCCAAGGAACAGGAACTACAGATGAGTCTACCATGCCCGGCTACTTTTTTGATGTATTGTAGAGATGAGCTCTCGACAAGTTGCCCGGGATGGTCTCGAATCCGTGGGTTCAGGCAATCCACTCACCTCGCCCAAGGCAATCCACTTGCCTCAGCCTCCCAAAGATTACAGGCTGGGCCATCGAGCCAGGCCAAGACTTTTCATTTTTTAATAGGCAATCTTACAAAGGCTGTGAACCAACCCCTGGGTAAAATCAGTTTAAGTTAGTTACCAATATACTGAATTGGACAAAAAATAGTTAACTGTTAAAATGTGACTGAATTATGTGAGGAGGCCACAAAAAATAAGACTTATTCTAACAAGGTCTGTACAAGATTTTCACGGACTCAATTTTTTGTCCTTGAAGATAAGAATGTTGTCATTCCTTTTAGTAGAGAGAGGAATTTCCACAGGAAATTCATCTTTGCTTTAAAAAAATAAAAACAGCATGAAGGTCAAAATGATTTTTTTTCTATCTACTGGTTTTCAAGTGTTTTGACTTAAATAGTATGTCAGAATAGCTGGTTAGAGAAGGATAAAAAGGAGGAATTATAAGAGGTGGAGAGGAGAACTCCAGAGAGAAAAAAATTCAGCTAGCTCTGAGACGATATTATTATTATTATTATTATTTTTGAGTTGGAGTCTCACTCCATCACCCAGACTGGAGTGCAGTGGCCGCTCCCAGCCACCGCAGCCTCGACCTGCTGGGCTCCAGTGATCCTTATGCCTCAGCCTTCCAAGTAGCTGGAACTACGGGC